CCCCCCCCCCCCTCCCCGAGGCGATATTTTAAAATAGAAAAAAAAATGATATGAAACAATGTAAAAATAATGGCCTTATGTGTTACCACAGGTCAGGAATTATATTGGTCAGGGAAAAAAATTATTCTGCTCGAAGAGTAAGCAAGAGACGACATGGTGAATTTACGCAAATGCAAAATCAGGCAAATTGTTTTCCCGGTTTCATTCTCGCCAAAAGAAAGTTGTTCCAAACTAACAAGAAGTGAAGAACTCGGGCGGTGCACGCATTTGTGCTTGACAGTCGGATATAATTACAAAGCTACAACGGTTGACGAAGCAATTATAATAACAGGCCATAAATGCAATATAGAGCAAGCCAAGCCTCTTGAAAATTCTATACGTAAAGACCTGTAGCGGTGTGCATTCAAGGCATTTTACAGCCGGTCGGTCTAGTTAGGGATTGGAATGTTTGTGCTTCGTATGGGCATGCACAATTTACTCGAAACGCCCTCCCAAATATGACTTGAAAGGGAGGTTTCGAAAGCTGCCGAAACAACGAAAGCTAGCGGATGTATAAAGTTTGTCAAGCGTTTCGTTATTTTTCACTAGAATTGGTTGCGTGTCTACAGATAGCATGACAAACCACCCATCCATGCCACGTGCTTACTCGAGTGTGATTCACGTGACCACTAAATTCCTTTACAGCAAACGTTTTTCGACACAGCGAGTAACTCAATGGTGCTTACCTTTGTCAAGAGTTTTCGAAAATAAAATAATTACTGATTTATTTCCAGACTGCTGTGTTTTTACTAACAAATTCAAACTTGTGGGAATGTTCTTGTTTTTCTTGCAAAATGAATACCCTGTGACCTTCACCCAAAGTTGATGTCCTTTATCCTTCATTTTTTAACCTAGGGCTTTGTAAATGATAACGAATGATGCATTCATTCGGCCAAATGTCTGGCTTTAATCTAGCACGATAGCCTCGGGTAGCAATTGTTTCTCGTACAAAACGCGAAATTTTAAAGCATAATTTGGGACACATAGTTTCATCTTTGGCAAAATGTGAACCGGATATAAAATCTCATTCGGGATAACCTGTACTATACTATCAAACCGTATTTCGCCACATCATGGATTAAGATATCTTACCGCAAAAAGTGAACAACAAGCCTCTACTGAATCCCATGACTGTAGTGAAGTGACAAATCCTCTGTTTGCTCCAGTGCCAAAGGCAGATTAAAAAATTATGATCTACCGAGCCGGCTTTATATTGTGCTTGGACAAGAACAATGAAGCTATTCACGTGACCCTCATGGGAACTTTACCTTTTTCACTTGCTCGTAAAACTTGAGTGATTGCTCAGAAATGTTTTCTATTCCCGTCAGTCAGTACTTGTCGGATTTCACAAAGATAAACCGCATGGACTCAATAAACATATTAGTTCCATAACGCTTCGAGTACTGATTAATTTGTTGTTTTTGATTCCTTATCTTTATAGAATTAATGGTTTTTTTTCTTGCTATGACGATTCAAATATGTACATTCTTGGAGCCATTTCTGGTAATGACAACATTTAAAAAAAAAAACATATCATATATTGTCATGGAAACATTATTGTTTGTGAAATAAATTGTTTTTTTCTAGAAAACAGTTAAAACAATTTCTAAACTGATCTCAGGCAATCAAAGCACGTACAGTCGAACCTCGATTATCCGGACCTCGATTATCCGGACTATTCGATTATCCGGACTTCTTTCTATGGTCCCAATTTTTTCATGAATATTAATTAGTTGTGATCTTGAAAACTCAAAGTCGCAAAAAGCCAAATAATCCTTTCAAAAGACTGTTGAAGCAGCATATTATCCTGTGCGCTTTTCAAAATTCGCAAGTGCGACGAGACAAAGAAATATT